TGACCACTAGTTTTAGTTTTTTAAAATCCACTTTTCACTTATGTATTCCCCAGGATCAACAGATCAGCAGGTGCCAAGGAGCACCATGCTTTCTGAGGTGCAATTACAAACTTAGACTTATTCATCTGCACCCAATAAAACCTCAATAATCCACAAACCAGCCACAAATTACTTTTGAGAGGAGCAGGTGCATTGCCTTGTCATCTTTGCCACATGCTAAATGTGACAATTACTTTCTGCTGGACAAATTATTCTCCATTTTCTACCTACATCAGATAATGTTCAGTTTCATCTCTGATATAAATGTATTTCAGTCACATTTGAAGAGACACTTGCAGCTGCTAATCAATTTATAAGGTCCTCCTGAAGAGTTAAGGACACCTAAGAGTAGGACTTGTAAAGCTTTCCATTTAGAGGTCCTAATTTTGGCTTCTTTAGACTTAGGGATTTTTCTTTACTCACAAACCTGCCTCACTCCTGTTTCAGTTTTGGAGCTTCAGGTAATCAATTTCTAAGAAAATATTAGTCCATGGTATATTGTCCCACCATACATTTTCATTCTACTTGATCTGAGACATTAAGTGCTTCATCCTTTGGAAAAAAACCCTGCAGCCTCACAGAGGAAGTTCAAAAGTCAGTTTAGCACTGGTACCTGAAAAATCTGTCCAAAACTGGAAAAGTTAAAACAGTTTGAAATGTCATTCTGAGCAAACCACTGGAGGTGTGGTGGAAAACTTGATCCCAAATTCCTTTTACCCAAAGCATGGCCAAGGCAAAAAAAGAGTGGGAACATCTGAAACTGGTCCCCCAAAACCACCCCAGGCAGTTGTCTCTGGAGAGCTCTGTAGCTGAGCATGAACTGGGACAGTGCTCAAGGGTGCCCTGTCTGACAGGGCTGCTGCAGCAGGCAACAGGATGAGGATGTCAATGGATAGATAAATTTTGTACCAGAAGAGCTAGAGGAGATCAAGTAGGGATCTAATCTCTTAGAGAACACTGAACATACAAAGGATTGTGGGACATGAAGCTCAGGCAAGAAGAGATTTGTCAAAAAGACTGAGGGTGTATCTATGCCACAGACACAGCGGAGGCAGCCTTACAGAGAAGAAATCTGACAGCAATCTGTAGATTGCTAAATAACAGCTAAAACTAAACTTCAGTAACTAGAGGCAAAGCTTTCTCTTACCAGAAGTATGCTAGGGTCACAAAATTAATTTTGCAGACTTCAGTAAGTCTCAGAATTGAAGTCACCTGCTAAATTCTAACTCATCCCTCTTTCCACTGGGTAGTTAAGAGAAAGTTTCATCTTCATCTGCATATGCAGTTTCCAAGGATCCTATCTGATGATGGGGTATGGTCACATATCAGCCCTGCTGAAGCTCTTGCGGGTGGGAGACAGAAAAACCCCCAGGTTTTTGAGACTATGACAAGTAAATGTTGCCCCTGTGGCAGAGCACCTTCCATTCTTCTCTGTTTATACCAAGTCACTTGAAACAAAATCTGACCAGACCACCAGAAACTGTAAGTTATTCATTCCCTGGGTGTAGTACAGCTAGACCCCAAATGCTGATTTGCTCAAAATGTTGTGCAACAGCAGCTACTGAGAGTCATAATTTGAATACTAAAGTAGATAATTCAAGTTCTAACTCTCAAGAGCTGATATTCCTGGGGTTCAGCCTCACTTTGCCTCTTGCTTCTATCTGTAAAATGGGAACAATGTAACCTTGCAGCTTCTAGGAACAGCTGAAACATTAATGGTATGACATATGCAAGCACCAGGCTCATGAACACCTGAGGGAATTTATAATTCTGTGTTTAGTCCAGTGTTTCAGAAAGCTGCAGTACAGAAGGCTCTAAGTTAAGAGATTCAGCAATGGGGATCATCACTTTCTGCAGTAAATGAGGTTGAAAAATTCTGAGCAACAAAAAGGGCGAGGTGATCATGGCCGTCAATTGTGCCAGTCATGACAATCCTACCCTACAAGAGGGCTGCGCAATACAGCAACAGGGGTCTTTAACTCTGGTGTTTTCTGACTCCAGAGTACTGAAATTAAAAACTAAATTATAATTTAATTTTATTTTAGTGTATAGTAACTGAAAGAATGCCAGGTAGAAGGTGGCACTTTCCCCTTACATCCAAGGAATGTAAGAACTGTAACTTGCGTTTTACTGTGACAGGTGATAATGATTTGAACAGGGATCTCAGAATTACCTTAGGTGATCACTGTTGGAGGATCTGCTAAATACCTAAGTCAAATTCCTTAAGCAATGGTTTTCAATAATGGCAAATTGGCTCAGGATTACATTAAACCAAAAGTATTTTATATAACCTTTCAGGTGAATAGGCCCCCACAGGGGGTTAAAATTCTGGTACATTTCCCATTCAGTTTGTCAATTCCAACTTAAACCATAAGTGTAGTGGAAACAGTGTAAAATACTTCTGCAAAAATTACAAAAAGCACAAAAAAAAAAACCTCTGAGGGTGCAATTTTTGGCACTGTAAAGGGTACACCCATTGTTTGAAAAACAAATCCCAGCCAGTGAATCAGAAAAAGTGACTGTGAGCTGCTGGGCACCACGGATCTGTCCTGAATAGGAGACAGTAAGGAGCAGCCCTGTCCAGGAGCATGCCAGGAGCCAGGCTGCTGCTCATCACCTCTGCTCTAAAGGGTGAGGGAGGGAAGGAAGGGGCATGCTGTAGCAGTCTTTTTATGCACAATCTACTTTCCACAGCAACCCAGCTATGCTCTCTGCCTCTCTGGGAGCAGCTGAGTCAAAGTTCAGCTCTCTTCTTGCTCTAGCCAGGATTCAGTTCCTTTCTCCAGCTCACACTCCTGCTGCCCAACAGCATCCTGCTGCCCTCTGCTCCAGCCTGGATGCCAGGACAGAAACTCTTCCCAAGGAGCACTGGGGAAAGCCCTGAGTAGCCTGCTCTGCTCCCAGTGCTGATCCTGCTCTGAGATGGAGACTATGCTGGAGAATTCCCAACACCTCATCCAACCCTAACGATTATATCATTTTTATGAATTACAAAAATGTGCTTGCTTTCTTTACAGGTGTATCTTGGGCAACTAGTGTCCTGATCCTTCACAAACAGATAAAAGATTAAAGAAAACCAAAAGAGTAACTATGCAAGTGCCTGCAAAGGTATCATCACAGTGAGGATTTAATCACAAGTTTTTATTTGGCTTGACAGTTGGAATATGACAACACACTAATGGTTAAAACTGCATTTCATTTTGATCATTGCTCTTGAACATTAGTTACCAGTTACACTGCTGCTCTGACTGCCAGTCAAACTCTGGCAGTCATTGGCTCTGACAATGCCAACTTTGAGGAAAAAGATGGAACTTTTATAGCAAATAGTTGACACATTTAGATCAGCTTAAATTTCCTGCCTTCTCATTAACAAAAGCTGGAAGAAGAGGCCAAGGAACATACACTGCAGCTATGCAGGTCAGAACAACAAACAAATATAAAACAAGGACAAAAATGCCACAGACAGAAAAGCAACAGAACAAGAGAACATATCTGGCATCAACAGATATTTGTACACATTTCATGATGTTGTCAGATAAGTAATTTAATTAAATGGTAAGTGTATCAGTGTCTTACGAGAGTATTATGAATGGCACTTAAATTATGGCAGTGCATAAACCCAGGACATTAGTATTCTATCCACCTTAAATAAAAAGTTTTGACTCCATCAATTTTAATACCCAGCTGCTTTAAGAAGTTGGCTACAGTATCCTGGCAGCCTGCCCAGGTTCTTTGCTCAATCAAGCAATAGTTGTCTTTGACCAAAAAAGAAAAAAATAGCCAACAGTATCCTTGCTGAATGTCTGCTGGCATCTACTATCAATATAGGAATAAGGGAATTAAAAGAAAATTAAAACATTAAAAGTTTAGTATTTTGGTTAATCATAACATTACAAAATTAATAATTTTAGTAGTTTATTATTGATGCTACCCAGTTTAGATTAATTTTTTCAAAAAAACTACCATGCCAGTTTTATCTATTACTTTAATTGTATGTACATAAGAACTAATGTGCTGTAGACATAGTCAGAAAACCTGCATCATTTAGCTCTGTATTACACAATACCAGCATGTCACAGTGCCCTAGGCAAGGTCACCAAACTCCTAACAATGACTGTAGGATGTGACAGAGGAATCCATCTTTACAAATTAGACTTCATTATACATGATCCTGCTCATAAATCTTGATGTATCATTTTCTAGTATAAAAACTCTACCTTGCACTTGCATGTATCCTCCAGACCTTCCAATTCATGGAGTATGTTACAAATATGTATGCTTATGTGCATAAAGCCACTGTACTGCTGCAATAGCAGTGCTCTAAATGAGACCCGACCTCCTGGAGCACCTGCCCTGCTCTGTGTCCTCCTGGTCCCCCCCACCTGGGGATGGAAAAGCTGCAGAAGGCCGGTTTTCCATAGCAGGTAGGTGACCTGAAGCTATAGAAGCGCCTGAAATGAAACAGACCGTTTTTCTTTGGGAGTTGTGGTACTTCTCACATGCAAACCCTATGAGGAACCAGCTAGGTTGGTTAGACTTAGAAAACTGATCAGAGGAGCAGGTGAGCCTCCTTCCCGGAGGCAAAGCCAACACTCTTCCTTTCGGAGGGGCCCAGAAGGTGCCTCCGACACGGAGCGACAGGGAGGCTTAGCCCCGAGCCCGACTGCGTGTGTGAGCATCCCGCGCTGCCCGCCAGCACCGGGCAGGTGCTGCCCGCAGGGGCTGGGGGCTGCGACCTGCCTGCACTCCGCCGCTGCCCGCAGCCCGACCCGCCCGCACGCTGCCGACCGCGCTCCTGCCGGGAGCTCCCCGTCCCGCCCGGGCCAAGCCGCGGGCTCTCCCCGCTCCGGCAGCGGAGATGGTGCTCCCCAGACGTGTCCCTGGAGCGGGACCCCTCCGCGCCGCTGGGGCCGGGACGTCCCCGGGCAGGTAGCGGCGGCCCCGGCGCGGCGGGGACTGACCTGCGAGTCGCCGCTCCCGGACATTCCTCCACAGCAAGTCCCAGGCTTTGGCGGTGGAGTCCCTCAGCTGCTCGCTCAGCGACCTCCGGAGCTGCGCCTTGGCCGGGCGGCGCTGGCTGCTCATCCTCGGCGGCTCCGCATGCCGCCCCGGGCAGCCCCGCTCAGCCCGCGGCCGCTCTCCTCGCCGGGGACTGGCGGCGGCGGCCACACGGGGCCGCGGGGCAGCCCCGCCGCGCCGCAGCCGCGTCACCGCCGCCCCGGGCGGGCGGCCCTGCCTTCACCTGAGCGCCGCCCGCCCCGGCCCCGGGGCAGCGCTCCCGCCGCCAGCCTCCCTCCCTCTCTCCCTCAGCGCCCCGTCCCGCGCCCGCCGCTCTCCGCCCTCCTTTCCTCCCCCGCGCTGCGGCCCCCGCGGGGCGGGGAAGGTGCCCCGGGCTCCGGCCCGGCTCCTGCCCTGACCGGGACCCCGCGCCCTTCGGGCTCGGGCACCACCGACGGACCGGGACCCCGCACGTCCCGCGGCCCCGCGCCTGAATTCCGTGACCCGGCTTGTGCCCCTGGGCCTCACTGGGGAACTGTCCGGCTAAGCCCCCGCGGCTGCCCTGCTGTCAGCTCCCGCTGCCGCCTCTGCGCTCCCTGGACAGCGACCGGGAGCTGCCCGCTGCCACCCCAGCCTTGCCGCCCCAGCGCTGCGAACGGCCGGCGTCCGCTGCTCCGGGGAGAGGTCACCCGCCACGAGGTGACAGAAAACCTGGCTGGCAGCGGGCTGCCTTTTTCCCGGGTGGCTGTAGTAGGTGATTCGCCCATGCTTCAACTTGTGCGGAAAGAAAATTAAGGTTTTTTTTTTGTTTGTTTTTTTTTTTTTTTTTTTTTTTTTTTTTTTTTTTTTTTTTTTTCTGAGAGGCCTTGGTTCATCAGCTCTCCACCAAAGATCAAGCCATAGTCCTCGCAACACAGCCTCTCCCGTTTCTTTCCTACTTTCTCTGCATTCCACCCACTCACTCTCCACCTCCTTCCCCTTGCCTGACTTCTTCTCTTACAGGCTCTTGTGCTTTTGAAAAGGTTTCAAAATTAAACCCTGGCAGACACTTTTTGCACACTGTACAGACTAAAATGAATCCTGATTTCTTCATCCACAGGCTAGCCAGAAAGTAAAAGCAGGGCCCTTATCCCATTTAGGAAAGCCATTTTGTGTCTCTGCTTCTTCTGTGCTCCGGGAAATACTGTTTTAACAGTGTCCCCTTCCCTATCCTGGATGTTCCTCCAGCAGAGAGTCTGATAGCCAAGAAGGACAATGGCCCCTTCATTCCATTTAGTCACAATCAATTACTTACTGCTTGCTCTTTTGGCAGAGTATTTGTGATGTGCAAAGCAGAGGCTGATGTTCCTGCAAGTGAGTGCCCTACTCTGAAAAAACTGCATGCCAGGTAAAGCAGTCATGTTAAACATTATCGATATCCCCATCTTGCTTAGATTTAAATTGTAACTGCAATGTCAGAAGCTAAAAGCAAACAGACAGATGTACCATGTTATACCACTGTTTTAATAATGTCTTCTGCTTACTTTGTGGTGTGAATTTGTTTTCCTTTGTCCCTGTTCTTAAAAGGTTCATCTAAAAAAGTTCATCTTAAACTACTCTACTTTAGCTGATATAGTGGAGACAATGTGCTTGTCCAGAACTTGTACAGATGTTGTATGTCACTCCTCTGCCTGCAATTCCAGTGTCCTCCAAATGACTGGACAAACAGTTTTGAGAAAAGGGATGCCTTCCAGGGATGGATGCATTCAAGATCTGGAAGGAAGACAGCATAATTATGTAAATACTCCCACATCCCATGACCCAGAGCAAACACCTGCTGATGTTAATGGGAGAAGAGAGGATTATGGCTCCTACAATCAGCTCCTCTGCCCAGTAAATCTGCCTCTGACCTCTGCCTCTCTTTATTTAATCTCTCACCAACACAGCCATTAACAGTGCAAAAGACCTACTATGCCTGTTTACTGCCACAGGCTTTTATCAGTTAGGAACCAGGCAGAGATGAGAAATTAATGTCTGATATTGTACTCAGCTGCTCTATAAAGATGAGCCGGGACACACAGTCTAGAGGTGAAATAATAAACTCAGTTTTGAAGGTTTTGTATCATACTGCTGTGTCACCACCCACAAACACCAGCCCACGTCAGCCAGTACTGCAACCTTCAGCAGTGCTCTTCTGGCAGCCACACTTGGATGCACCAACTTGGAGTGCCCTGCCTGTCTGGAAGATAGATATCCCTTTCTTCAGCAGCTGTCTGCAATGGCCAGAATGTAGCACTAGAACAAAAGATATTATCTTCCCTTCTGTAGCATTTTTGAAGATCTTGCTTTATCAAAAATATCCCTAGACTTCCAGGTTTACTGAAAGCAGCTAATTGGTGACTAGATAGTAGCAATTGCTAATCCCATGTTATCTCACCACGAGTTACTGAGATAAACTGCAGTGATATGGCTGTATTTCATAATCAGCACCAGAACTGAACTGGCAAGCCTAGACCAAACTCTGTGGCAGGCACTGACAAAAATCTTACTAATTTCAGGTACTTTATTGTGGAAAACTAAATCCAGAGGCAAGATCAGATATCGTAGTTTTCTCCCCAAAGAAAACAGTGCTATTGAGTAATGAGAACACATCTCATGCAGCAACTGGCCTATTCCTATTTTATGCTTTTAATCATAGTCAGCTGTTCAGAAGTCTAATTACCATCACGAGTATTTTTGATGTATTACACCTCATAGTAGCAGTTACAATATTCTGCAGAATTTGCTTGAAGGAGGGTACGTGCTAGGAATCATTCATAGGTCAAACATGCTTCATTTCCTTTTAGAATGTTAGAAAACCTGGCAAGATGGTAAAATTTTGGTCTCTCACACATTTTGCATATGTTGGTTAAGTGTGTAAGTGTATCAGTACTCATCTTTCCTGCGTGAAACATTCTGACATCCAGCACAAGATGGCTAACACTTCTGGGGGAAAGAAAAGGAAACCACATTTTCCACAGAATTTTCAGTTTTCCTGCTTGATACTAGTCTTGCAAAATGGTTCATTTCAGAGTAATTCCAATGAAACTGCTGTATATGATGAAGAGAAAGGAGGAAGTTCACAGCAGCCTTAAAATAAGCTGAACTATTATATTTGTCTTTGCTCACTGATCACAGAATATTGGCAGGAATAAAAGTACTGTCTTTAAACCTTGCAGGCATGTAAAATGTTGGGGAAAAGTCTAAACTAGTTATACCCATGCTCTGATGCCATTGTGGCACAGAAGTCTGATACACTAATTATATATTTAGCAATTTATAGTTCCTTCCAATCACCATGGTAATTAAACGCCAAATTAATTGACACTGCGTAGTATTCTGGCCTCTAATTAGCAGTGTGTTTTTAATTGGTTACAGATGCCATTATGCAGCCTGATGTAGTCCTAGTAAAGTAACTGCACAAACTCCAATGCACCTGGTAAGAAGAGAATCAGACCTAAGGAAAGAGAAACATGACTGCATATTGGTTTGCCATTTGTGAACTACTGAAAGACTATGATAAAAGTACATCTTCTTTCCATCCTCTTGTCTTTAATTATCACGAGTCAGGATTTTTTGTTAATCACCTCATAATATTTTCCTACTTGCAGAAGAACAAAACAAGATATGTCATGTGGAGGAAAATGTGGGAAGTGTGCATCCTTGGTTACTGTGTGCTGTGTAGAGGACAGTGGCTCCTCACCCTAGTATCCCTTAGAAAGTAATACTAAAGCAAAAGAGGAAACAACAGGATCTACAAGATCAATGATGCAGTCTGATGCTAATAAGTGCAATGCCAAATTTTATAATTAATTTCATTCTTCAGGAACTGACTGTAATGAAGCTTCTTGAAATTTGCTATACCCAAAATCGTATTGCTGTGATTTTGTAGCTTCAAATAGTAGCTCAGACAGCCTAGATATAAACACATCAAGTAATATTTATAACTTTGGCAGTGGTCTTTATCTCTTTAGGGGTCCTAGAGCTCTGGAATTTGTTTTCTATCACAGCTTAAATGGTCTGAGTGGGATGTTGTAAGTCTGGGTTACCACTAGAAGGGAAGAAAAGATCTGAGGTTTTCCATTGCTTGTTTTCCTAACAGCAGACTCCAGTGAATTTCGTACTAATTCTGTGGTTGAAGTTATGTGAAAAGCACCAAGGGCATATGAGTAGGTGTCCTCTTTGACATCTAAGTAAACAAACAAATATTTTGGATAGAGAAAAATAAGAATCACTGTGAATGAGGACAAAATGTTCTAGCTTGTGCCCTGGCACTCTTTCCTTGTTTTTTATTTACATATACAATTTATCATAATTTTAAGGTAGCTTTAACAAGAATAAGTTATAAATTGGTTTCACTCTTTTCTGGTTTATCAAGAGATTGGCACCTATATGTTCATCCTACTTCATTTTAGTTTTCTGAAGCTGTGGGAAAGGATTGCTCTGCACTTTGCCAACAGCAGAGCACTGCTGGCTTTCATTAGTGGGGGCCAAATTCTTTCACTTTTGTTCACAGTGATTAATGCTGAAATAAATGGAACTTCTTGCAGTATTCACTGTGAAAAGACTCTAAGTATGCTCAGATACAGTACAGTAACAAAGTGTCTGCTGTTTGACTGTGCTCCTTCTCCTTCTTGCTAGAACAGGCATGGAGGGCATGGGGGGAAATTAAGCTTTAATTGTATTCATACAAAGGATGGTACTTTATTGTTATTATTAATAACAAACTGTGTCCTCAAACTGCTTGGAACCAAAAACGGAGTGGAGCTGAAGTACAATCTTTTCCCTCAGGAGATTGTAAACGAAATATAAAACAGGACACTGATGGAGAGAAGACCTGATTGGGGTAGGAAGGGTAGAGTATGAGAGAGCAATAGAACAGTAGTGGCCAGAGTAGTAACTGCTGGCGTGCTTCTGGCACACCAGAATTAGTGTCTGGAAGCAGTGATGCAAAGTGAGTCAGCAAGAGAGTCTCCAAGGAGGTTAATGTGTTATCTTTGTATATTCAAAGGACCAACTTTCAAGAATGAGGGGCATTTTTAATAAAAGCACAAAAATGTGTATTTGAAAACATAACGAGTAGTCAGCAAAAGCTGGGATCCTGTACACAAACAGGCTTTTAATATTGAACAGATATGTGAGACAAGGGAAGAGCCTTCAGACTTCAGTCAAGCAGCCTCTACTTGATGCACCATAAAGGCAGGATGACCTGCAATGAGCAGTGATAGCAGAGAACTGCCAGGGTTGCATTTGGGATGCAATGCAGTAGAAAAAAAAAACAAAAACAAAAAAACTGGGGTTTTTGGGTTTAACACAGCAGGGTTTTCACATTCTGGCCAGCTTTAACGTACACTTTTCTCTCCATCTTGCACTCTGCTTACATCTAGCTCTTGCAGGTTATTTTTTAAAAACCCCTCTACCTCTACAGTCTCTTGTACTTATACAGCCTAAATTGTCATAGGACAATATAAACTCCAGGCAAAGATCCTGTGTGACAGGCAGGAGGTTGCTCTGTTATATGAGAACGGTGAAGAAGGGGACAGGGAGGCAGCTGTGGTACAAATGAAGATTGGATGGACTGCTCTCTGAGTAAACAGGGCACTTCAATGGAACAGCAGACAACAAAGCTGATGCTTCAGCTGTAATTCTGAAGACTTGCAGCCACAAGAGCCCTTGCACATTTCTCAGATAACAGACGAGAAGAACGGACAAAACAAACCAAGTGCCAATAAACTTTCACTTCCTTTCGTAAGATGCTCTGTGAACATCTTTAAAATATATTACATTGAAGATATGAAGTCTTGTGCTGAGCAAAGCTGGTCTCTAGAAATAGCCAATGCTTCAATGATTAAGCAACTGGGAAAATGGACTACATTTTATATGTGTAGATGTATTGGTTTTTTACTGGAGCTGAGCTTGAAATTTTGAAGTGATTAATGCCCTTGAATAAGTGAGCAGCTATGTTGAAACACAAAATGTCTCAGCACAGAATATTGGCCCTGTTCTTCTCATTTCAGCTACTGGTGTCTGATTTTCCCCCTCCTCTTCAGTCACTTGACAAAAATATATTGTTTAAAACTACATCTTTCTTTGCTCTCAAAGTGCTCATTTCCTTAATATTGTATTGGGACCTTGCCTAAGCCACGATTTTTAAATTTTTTTCCTAAACTTCCAACTGCTATTACCATCACAGTAGATATAATTGGAACATTTGTGTAAAAAAGCCTTGCCTTGCAGTCAATGGCAATTTAGCACACACCATAGCAGGATATTGGTTCAGAGACCTGGGAGCTTTTTCTCTTTTTTTTTTAATAACTCTCCTGGATTACACAGGAAAACATGATCAATCTTGACAGCAGATTCTAACAACAATGCAAGCAAATTGTTCCCCAAACGAATTTACTTGTGATAGCAAGAACTTTTTTTCAGATACACAAATACTTCTCTGCACACACACCTTTTGAGTAATCAGGCTACTGACTGATGGCAGCATATTGCCAAGTATCAGTATATTGCAACCTTCATCACTGGCCACACACCTACTATTTAAATTTATTCAATTTATTTAAATTATTTAAATTATATCTACATTTGGTACAATTAAAAAGCAATGGCACTCATATTTTTGGCCAGTGAATAAAGAGTGTTGTGGCCAGTTGCAATAGGGGATAGAATTTCAGGTAGGAAGATTATAATGGCCAGAATCAAAATTTGGCTGGGGCCCAAGCCAATCCCTATTAACCTAAACTGTTCTACAGGATCTTGAATCACTAAAGCTGATTTTAAATTTCTTCTTGATTCCACAATAAAGAAGGGCTAATTGTCTGTCCACAGTATTGTCTGAGTCTCATTTGAAGTGAAGGCTGGTGACGATTCGATTGTAAGCATCATTTCCCACAGCTCCATTGGGAAGGTTTCCCAGCCGCCTCAGAGCCTGTCTAAGCCCACTCCATCACCCAGCTCTGGCATTACAGAACTCTGTTCCAGCAGGCTGAGTGGTACAGCCATTCCTGGGAGTATAAAGGAGCTTAAGCTTATGAAGAATGCCTGTTTCATGACATTTAACATATCTGGGTATTCCCACTGAGAAGCAGGATATTCATGCTGTGAAGAAGGGGCTGGACTAGGTGGATCTGCAGCTCTTTCTGTCCGAAAATGTCCTTGTTTCTGTGAGAACATTTTGGTAGTGTCAGGCAGCACCTGTATTCCATTAACTCCAAAAGCATTTCAGTGTTTACAGTAACCAGGAAATGTCCATGTCTGTGTTATATTAACAAGTCAGCAGTAACAACTGCAGTTTCAGTTTTTAGAGCTATGCAGAGAAAAGTTTACTTTGAGTTTCTGAGGGTTTTACTTCCTTTGGTTGAAAAACAAAGAGGCCTGTAGTACTGCCCATGAAACCATTACAGAAAGCTTTGGGGAAAAAAGTTACCAAATGATGTCCAATAGCGCTTCAGTAATGGCTTCATATAATCAGGTAGGCAAAAACATAGCT